CTGCACTCCCAGGTGAGGTTCATGGGTCCAAGGGCAGGGCCAGTGAAGTCGCACTAAAAGGGAGTGGAGGCACTTTTTTTATACAGCTGTTCAGTGCGGGCAGGGGAGCATGAGCTGTGGGAGTTTCCACTGCGGGCAGGCTGCTCCAGGAAGGACCCAGTATCTGTGCCGCTATCTGTCTGGTGCACTAGTCTGTTATGGGTTCTAGGAAGGGACCAGTATATGCGTCACCGTCTGCCTTGCGGTTGCATGCATTGGTTCCTGGACTTCCCTTCGTCCTAACAGTATCTATGTTCATACCTAAGCTTATCTATAAAATTTCCTAAATAAGACTTTTAGTCTAATTCTGATTTTTTCTTTTTCTATTACCTGGAACATTTTGTATAAGAACAGATTTATTTGCTCCTTAATGTTTTGATAAAACTTATTTGCAAAATTATTTGGTATGCTACTTTCTTGGTGTGTAGATTTTTTATCTTTGATTTAATTTCTTCAAGATTATGAATGAGATTGATAGTCATTTGGTACACATGGTAAGTTTATCCCAGTCATTTCCACCAATGTCTATTTGGACTTGTTGTAGTCCTTTGATTTTATCATTGCCTGCCCTATATCTGTTGTTGAATATTTTAAAACATTACTTCTGGGTATAGAGCTCTTTAAATCTTTTATTTATTTTTGAGTCAATTTAGATGATGCAACTTTAACCAAAACGTCTATTAGTTCTAAATTTCCAAATGTGTTATTATAAAGTATGCAGAGAAATTTTAAAAACCTTTACAGTAAATTTTCATTTCAAACATGTTTTATTTGTGTCTTCTTTTTTCTTTATCTATCTTTCTAGTTGTTTATTTAGACTTTATTATAATCTATACATAGTTCTACTTTAGAGGGGCTTACTCTGTTGTTTTTCCTAACTTTTAATTAAACACTGAGTTCATTTATTTTCAATCTTTTAAAAAATGTAGACATTTAAGACTCTAAATTTTCCTTACTAACTATGTCTCACAGGTTTGAAAATGCAATGTTCACATAACATCGTTCAGATCTAAACACATTTTATAGTTAATTACATTTTTTTCTTTTCAGGCTACTTTTGAATTTTGATTTCTAATTTTATTGCATTGTGGTCAGTGTGGTTTACATCCTATTGAGTTTTGTACTTTTAAAGATTTCCTTTGAGGCCTAGGTTGGAGCTTGGTTTTCATAAATTCTCTATGTGTGTTCAGAACTTTAATTGTTAGGGACAGTTTCTCTTACTTATAGCAAGCCTTTTAATATTATTGTCCACATTTTCTATTTTTTCTGTCTTCTATCTTTTCTCTGTCTTCCCTTTTAATTATTCTAATATTTTATCAAATTTTCCTTTATAAAAAAAATATGTACTTAAGGCTATGTTGTTTATTGCACAGAGTCAAGATTACTCTCTCTTCCTGGTGAATTGTTTTCAATCCTCTATCACTAAAACTAAAGTGTGCCTCAAAGTCTCTTTTGTCTCGTGTTGCTATACCTACATCACCATCATTTTGTTTAGTATTTGCTTGTTATGTCTTTCTTCTTCTTTCCTTTACTTTCAACTTTTCTGTGACATTATTTGAGTGAGTTTCTTATAAAAGCATAGAACTAGATTTTAAACATTTTCTCAGTGAATCTCTGGTTTTAATAAGACTGTTTAACCTGTTTTATGTATTTTAAGTAGTGATATATCTGGGTTTATTTCTGCTATCTTATTTTGTGTTTTATGTTTACCATGCTGTTCCCTATTATCATCACTTTTCTCTATTGTATTGAATTTATGAGTTTTTTTGGCCCTCCAACATTTTAATTCTTTTACTGGTTACCTTAAATATTAGTTTGTGTAATTGACCTAATAAACTCTAATGTTAGTTGTGATAGCCTATTACATTGAACTGTCTCTAACTATTCATGTCCTTGTGCAGTCTCCATCCCTTGAGTCTGGGCTTGTCTTTAACCAAAAGTAGTGACAGAAGTGATGCATGTTAGGTCTTGATTTAAGCGTTAAAAAGGACTGGTAGCCTCTGCTTTTATAGTCTTGGAAGTCCTGAGCTTACATGTAAGAAGTCTGGCTATCCTGCTGGAAAGTCACATGGAGATGCCATGTGGAAAGGCCAGATGAGAAGGAGAAGCATGGGAATATGTGGGAAAGAACTGAGGAACTGAGCTGACAATTGAGGTCCCAGCATATGATCCCAGTTGAGTGTTTTAACCAGACAAGACATTTGAGCCCTACTAGGACAAGTGAGTGAGAAAACACACACATTTAACCACAGAATTGCACGTAAATGAAATGATTGTTCTTTTAAGCTTCTGATGCTTGGGATATAGTGCTACATGGCAATAGATAACTATTATGTTAATAAAATCTTGTTTATAAGGAATGTTAATAAAAGCTTGATCTTTATATTGAATTGCATACTATTTTTATTCTTTAATTTCAATTTTCTCCCTGCTTGGTCATTTTCTATGATGTGATCCTTTTGTGGTTGTATATTCCCTTTAAACATCTTTAAATTAATTATTTTTATCATTTTTAGTTAACAAGTCATTGGATATATCCTATTATTTGTGTCCATTAGGTAGTGCATATATGGAAAACAAACATATAAATTCTTTGGTTAATCTCTTCCCACTTTCTCCCTCTGCCCTCTAAGATTCATCAGTCTGTTCCATGTTTCCATGCCCGTTTCTATTTTATTCATCAGCTTATTTTGTTCATTAGATTCTTTGTTTGCTTATTTTGATTTTTAGATTTGTTGTTGATAGATATGTACTAGTATTTATTGACATTTTATTGTTCATATTTTTATCTCTTTTCTTCTTCTTCTTCTTCTTCTTCTTCTTCTTCTTCTTCTTCTTCTTCTTCTTCTAGAACACTCTTCAGTATTTCATGTAATACTGGTTTGGCTTCTTCTTATTTATGAAGCCCTTTCTGACCTTCAATTCTAAATGAAAGCTTTGCTGGGTACAATAATATTGGTTGTAGGTACTTGCAATTCCTCACTTTTAATATTTTTTGTCACTCCCTTGTTGAGAAACCAGCTGACGGTCATATGGGTGTTCCCTTGTAGGTAACTAACTGCTTTTCTCTTGCTGCTTTTAAGATCCTCTCTTTGTCTTTAACCTTTGGCATTTTAATTATTATGTATATTGGTGTGGGCCTCTTTGGGTTCTTCTTGTTTGGGACTTTCTGCACTTCTAGGACTTGTAAGTCTATTTCTTTAACCAGGTAGGGGCAGTTTTCTGTCATTATTTCTTCAAGTAGGTTATCAATAATTTTTTTTCTCTCTCTTCTTCTGGCACTCCAATGATGTGAATGTTGGTACACTTGAAGTTGTCCCAGAGGCTCCTTACACTATCTTCATATTCTTTTTATTCTTTTTTCTTTTTGCTCTTCTGAATGGGTGTTTTTTGTTTCCTCATATTCCAAATCACTGATTTGAGTTTCAGCATCCTCCACTTTACTGTTGATTCCCTGTAAATTATTTTTTTCATTTCCGTTAGTGTATTCTTCATTTCTGACTGGAACTTTTCCATGTCATTGATATTCTCACTAATTTCCTTGAAATTTTCACTAAGATCCTTGAAATTCTCACTAAGTCACTTGAAGGTCTCATTAAGATCCTTGAGTATCCTTATAACCATTGTTTTGAACTCTGTATCTCATAGTTTACTTGCTTCCATTTCATTTAGTTATTTTTCTGGAGATTTCTTCTGTTCTTTCATTTGTGACATGCTTTTTTGTCTTTGCATTTTGGCTGCTTCTCTGTGTTTGTTTCTATGTATTAGGCAGAACTGCTATGTTTCCTGGAATTGGTAAAGTGGCCTTATGTAGTGCCTTCCCAGTCACCGGAGCTGGGCACTCTAGTGGTGCCTCTGTGTGGGCTGTGTGCACTGTCTTGTTGCAGTGGAACCTTGATTGCTGTTGTCATCACTGCGAGGAATCACCCCCCACGGCAACTGGCTGTGAGGACCAGCTGCAACTACAATGGAAGAGCTGTTGTGCAAAAGACACCCCTATGCATTAGGTCTTGCTTCAGTGCTCACTGAGTCTGCCCTTTGAGTGTGTTGCTTGTGGATGCGTAGAGTTGGTCTGAAGCTGTCCACTGGATGTACTGGCTCTGGGGCTCACCTGGAAGTGAAAAGTCAGCCACTGCCTGTGTCCTTCTTGGGATCACCTGTCAGGAGCTACAGAGTGATCTGTAGATGGCTGCTATTTGTGTTGGGTTTGGAAGTGCTGAGGAGAGGCCAAGCTATGAAGCAAGGCAGGCTACTGCTAGTGCCAGTCCTGGGGCCTGTTATTGAGTGGTATGGGGCATGCTGATGCCAGTTGCTGCTTATTTGAGAGATTTTATGAAAGTCTGAAGCCTGAACCAGAACAGGCCATTCATAAGGAAAAGCCACTGTGAATACCTTGGGTGGGGCTGCAAATTGGGTGGGATGGGGGGTGTCAGGGAATCACCAGGGCAGAGCGAACAATGTGAGCCAGGTTGATGGAGATTCTGCCAGTCAGCTCTGCAACAGGAATAGTTTCAGTATAAGATCAATGGCTGCTTCAAGCACCCCTGTCTGGGAGAAAGGCTCCCCTGAGTTCTTGTTCCAATGCCAGACAATTCAGATCCTCCCCATATGTACCTGGATCTCTCCCAAGCTTCTACCCTAGTGCTGGAGCTCAGAGGGAGTGAGTCTGAGTAAGTTCATGTGCAGGCCCTTTAAGAGGAACACCTTGGACTCCAGCAGCCTTCATGTCACTCAGTCACAATCCCTGCTGGCTTCTATAGCCTGAAGGTACAGGGACTTCTCTTCCCAGCACTGGAATTCTGGACTAAGGGATCTGGTATTGGGTTGGGACCCCTTGCTCCTCACTGGAGGCCTCTGCAGCCTAGATATCCCTCCTGACACATGTGGGTGTCAGACCAGCCCAGTCCATGCTTCCACCCCTTCTACCAGTCTCAATGTGCTTTCTTCTTTACTTCTATAATTGTAGGACTTCCATTCAGCCAGATTTCAGGTGGTTCCAAAAGATGGTTGTTCTGTATTTTAGTTGTAATTTTGATGTGGTTGTGAGAGGCAGCAAGTACTACATTTACCTATATCACCATTTTAGTGCTTCTTTACCTGAAATGAAAAAAAAATTTAAATGGGTAACAGATTAGTGGTTGCCAAGAGTTAAGAATGGGAGAGTTACATCTTCTTATAAAAGGGCAATAGGAGGGATCCTTATGGGGATGTAATGTTCTATATGTTAACTGTGGTGACAAATACATGAATTTACATATATGCTAAAATTGTAGAACTAAATACACACAAATATGTACATATTAAGGTGGGGAAATATGAATAAGATAGGTGGGTTGTATTGTGTCAATATCTTAGCTGTGATATTCTAGTTTTGCAAAGTGTGACCACTGGGAGAAACTGGGTAGAAGGTACTCTATATTATTTGTCACAACTGCATGTGAATCTACAATTATCCCAGTAAAATTCTCAATTAAAAATGCTTCACTAAATAATTTATTTTTTTAAATTTTTCAGGTAAAGTTTCATTTTTTACCATTTACTGATTTATTATACACATTTACTAGATAAAGTTATTTTATATATTATGCTTAAAGAAGAAAATATAGCAAAATGGATAAACATGCTCCCAACTAACAAATAGTAGTAGACAGTTTTTGGTTCTAATTTTTTTTTTAGCTGAGTCAGTCATATTAAAACCATTTTCTGTAATTACAGGAGAAGAGTTGTGAAGAAGACACTTGCCTTGGAAGTGGTCAGGAAGCACTTTCTTTGATAATGAAGTGATTAAGAACTTCTGTTCTTAGAATTCATTGTACACAGCATCATAGAGTTGAAGGGACATATCTCTTCAAGTCTATCTGTTCTATCTTCCTACTACTGCAGAATTGTTCTCTACACTGCACTCATAATAAATGATGATTACTGTTATTACTATTAATGGCCCCAACAACATTATACAGTATAATGGCTCTAGTGATTATACTGAAAAGTTTGATAGAAATTATTTTCCTGAGATCATCCTAAAATTTCTTCTTCCTCAATATTATCTCGTTATTTCTATTTATGTCTCCCTTAAAATACTTTATCCATTCCCTCCCTTGTAATTATAAGCTCACTGGGGTAATACTCTTTCATTTTGGTTTCGTCTTATTGCCTGAAGCATTGTAGGCATTCAGTTAATGTTGTTTTACTTTTGATGTTGACATCTTCAAATGGAGACAGGTGGCTTCACAAGTTAGGACGGTCATTGCATCAACGAGGATTAATTTCTTAATTATTTAAAGCTCATTATAATATTGGCCCTTCTCCAAGCACCTTGATTTTTGACAGATTAGTGCTGACAACCAGGCTTATTCTTTTCTTTTTTAAATTAAATTTATTGGGATGACATTAGTTAATAGGATCATATAGGTTTCAGGTTTGGATTTTATGTTACAAGATCTGTATATTGCACTGTTTCCCCACCACCCACAGTCAAATCATCTTCCATCACCATATATTAGGCCTCCTTCATCTCCCATCCCTCACCCCTTACCTCTGTCAACTACCACACTGTTGTTTGTGTCCATGAGTTTCAGTTTTATATTCCATATATGAGTGAAATTATATGGTTCTTAACATTTTCTGCCTTATTTCACTTAGCATAATAGTCTCAAAATCCATCCATTTTTTCAAAAGTGGTAGCATTTTGTCTTTTTTATGGCTGAGTAGTATTCCATTGTGTATATGTACCACATCTTCTTTATCTGATCCTCTATAGAAGGACGCCATGGTAGTCTCCATGTCTTGGCCACCATGAATAATGCTGCAGTGAACATAGGGGTGCATATATCTTTGTGAATACATGTTTTTGAGTTATGTGGAAATATACCCAGGAGAGGAATTGCTGGGTCATATGATAGCTCTATTCTTAATTTTTTGAAGAATCCAGGAAACCAGTGAAGGTGTTTTAGCGAGTGTTCATTGAAATGGATTTAAAGACCCAACATAAACACAAATCTGCAGTTGAAAGCAAACTTCTAATGATTCTGAAGAATCAGAAAACAGATCTAATTCAAAAAGAGTTTATGTTGACCAGTGTCCTCTTGGCTGAATGTTACCTGCATAAAAAAAGTGATAAACTCTAACTTGAGATATTCAGTGCCTTATCTGCAGGAAGCACCACTGATCTAAAAGGAAGAGAAACAGAAAACACACACAAGAGAGATCCGGTCAGAGACAGTGAGAACTGGAGCTGAGCCTCAGAAGTAGCTATTTTCAAGAAATGTGGCTTCATATTTGGATAACACGGAAGGTTCCCTGTATGAGTTTCTATTCTGCCACTTAGCCCAACCTCATTGCCCCAAATTGAAGACCCAAACTTGGTAAAATTTCTCCAGATCAACTAAACAATTTGTACCAAATTTATTAATCATGAAATTAATAACGTATAGTAATATGCCCAAACTTGGACAAAATATGGGAGAACACCAAAAATTTTTTAAAATATGGTTCCTTACTTGGAGTTATGGGGAAAGGATCCTAATGTTACCGAGTAACATGGGCGAAGGTGAGTAAGGTTAATATAATGCAGGTGTATAGGTTGAAAGTGCAAAAGGGAAGATGCAAAAGGGAGGATGCAGAATGAGGGCTTCTGATCACTATTCATTTCAAAGTTATTTAGATATCAGAAAATGCCATTTTCCATCTCTATCTAGGAAGATAGGCTTCTTGAACACAATGGTATCTTTGCCTTGAATTCTTCCCATAGATCTCCCTTTTAGTGGTATCTCTACTCAAGATTATTGAAACCAAGAGCAACTGGCAGAAAACATTTTATTCACAGAAAGACTTGACTGCCTCCTCTGTTGGCCAAGATGGTTTCTAAGATAAGATGTCCTTCAATGAAATAAGAAAATGTTCAAATTGATCTTCTTCTGAAACCCTCACTGAAGTTAAATGCACTTGTAGCTAAATATTCGCAGAAATCAGTGTTAAAGGCATAGAATCATATGCTCTTTGTCCATTTCTCTGTACTGCAAACATCTCTCAGATCTATATGATATTTAGTGCTATGACTATAATAAGGATATGATTTAATTAAATATATTTCTTTGTCCAAATGTCCAAAATAATATAAATCCATACTCTAATGGAAAAACGGTAGGCCAAGTCTAATTTGTCACCCAGGTATTTTTTAAAATATATTTTTTATTGTTGATAAGTATTACAGATATTTCTCATTTTCTCCACCTTTACCCCCCTCCTCCCAACCGCTACCCACTCCATCAGGTCTTCTCCACCCTATTCACCCAGCTAACTTAGTTGAGTCACCGGACCTTAGATGAGTCACCAGACCTTCCAGGTTCCTATCTTCCTCATCTGTAACATGGAGATTTGGCTAAATAATCCCGAAAGTCCCTCCCTGCTCTAATACTCCCCAATTCTTCAGAGTACCAAAAGGGAGTAATCTTTTCTCTAATTATTTTATAGCTTCCAATGATCAATTGCATTCTTTTGGTTGCTGGGTATCTAAATAAACAAATTTCTTGAATTATTTAAAGGCAATTATCACATTTAAATATAAGTGTTTGTTTGCACTATAAGGAACTATAAACAAAAGAATCTTAGTATAAGGCCCTGTAAGCTTTCATTTAAGTTAACAAAACTTCCTGTCTCTGTTTCATCAGCTTTCAAGTCATCCAAACATGCACTGACCTTGATATGCTTTTAATAAGCTTAGTGACTCACCAGGAAGACAAAAGCAATAGATTCTGTAAGTGTTTTAGACTGTTTGCTGGTAAGAGCCCTCAAGGGAAAGCATGATACACAGTTGGCAACCAGCATCTTGGAAAGAGATTGAAAATGAAGTTGCCACCAGAAAAGCAGAGGGTGTTATGCCCAGATTTCAAGATCCCCAAGAGACCACACCAGGGAGCCAGCCGAGTCTGATGCAAAAGCAGAGAGTCTTTTATTCAAACCTGGGCTTGGCTCCCCTACCCTCCTTACTGGTACAGCAGTAAGTGGCAGAGAGAGGGCTAGCCCGGTGGGAAGAGAAGTTTTATAGGGGGGTGGAGTAAGGGGAGGAGAAGGGACTGTGGGCCCTGCCTATTGGCCAGGCGCAAGTCGGTGTCTTGTTACACAGGATGTGGTCATCTCTATGGCGCGCACTTCCCTTGATTGTCATTGGTTAGTTTAAAGAAATCCTGGGTGAGGCTAGCAGAGACTTGGGCTTCTGGGAAGAAGCCTTGCAGAGCACATGGTTGCCCAAAAATGGAGGACCCAGGATAAGATGGAGGGCGTAGTCCTCGCCCTTTCAAGGGCAATTAATAGCTTCAAGTTTTTTATGTAGAAATAAATAATGATAAATAAATGCTATCTCTTCTCCGGGATAATTGGCAATAACAACTCATGAACAAAATATTCATGCTAGTACAGCAAAGAAAGTGTGATGACAATAAAAGGCCATGGCAGGTCAGGAAGGATGTTTACACTGGTTAAAAAAGATCATCTTTCCTTGTCTGTGTCTTACTTCCTCTTTGAGCTGCTGACCTATTCTATTATGACAGTGATAAGAGGAACTTTGAGAGGTTTTACTGACTCTGCATAAGTTTGAAGTTCTCAGTAAACTTGGACCTATGCCCCTTATTTAGGCAAAAGAAAATGAAAATAAATTGAGCAATGTAGAATTTATTTTAGAATCAAGTTTTGTGAGAAGGAAATATGTGTGTACGTGAGTGTGTGCGTGCATGTGCCCCAGATGAAACACATTTCTGAGAAAACTCATCAGAGTACCACGCCCAGGGACAGTATGAGGCCCCAGACGTGAATGTAGACTTCAGATGATATTCCATGTCTTAATGCTATGTTTTGCAAGTATTCTTAAAACTGGGAACGTAAAGGATGGGTTCTTAAGATTTATTATAGCCCATTTGACTTTGACACACTGAACCCAAATACTCTCCTTCTCAGATGCACTGCAGGTGGGTTCCCCGGATTTCCAACCATTATTTACCATCTTGGTAGTTTTGCTTTTTCCTGAATATTATATACTAGTAAGTAGAATCATACCATATGTAGCCCTTTCAGACTGACTTTTTTTTCACTTAGCAATATGCATTTAAGACTCTTCTATGGGTTTTCATGATCTTTTTACATATGCCTATAAGTTGTTGGTGTTTTCCTACTTTCTGGTACACCGTAAGTTCATCTACATTTTCTCCTCCCAACCTTGAAACTGTTCCTTTTCTCAAGGAGCTCAGTGGAATGGTGTTTAGAAACCAATATCTGGGCACAAGGTGTGCTTATTGCTACTGGGGTATCCTTGCTTCTATGCCCCTTCAGAGAATTAGAATACATATTTATTTAAATCATGGCTGAATCACACTAAATCCTCTGTTCTTAATTTTAAAAAAAACCAAAGGGTTCTTCCTTTAATGGAAAGGGATTCTACATTCATTACTTCAAATCAGTGCCCCCTAGTTAGAAATATTTCTTGTTTTGTCTCAAGTTTGGAGCCATTTATTTCTTACTTGCTCCTAGAGTGACTCAGCAAATGACTCAAGGACAGCTGATCTGTAGGTGGATTGGTTTTTATGGTGACCATTTTTCCCAAGCAGAATATTATAGTTTCCATTCCTTTTGCCTGGATCTAAAGATGCAATCTGTTATTTTTTTTTAGTACCAATTAAAACAACAACACTTTTCAAAATCCTAAGCACTTCACACGTCTCTAAGACTCTGGGAACAGCCCAATTTGTACAGCTTTCTCCAAGAACAGCAGAGTAGAGAGAACAAAAAGGATAAGGGTTGTCTCATCATCTCTTATTTATATTTCTTAATATTTGGAGTCCTGTGACTAGGACATATTTCTGTTACTAGAGAATTAAGATACAATATCTTAACTATCCTTCTATTCCCATGAAGGTAAAGGATGTGCTGTGTAGAATGCTGCTGAACTTTCTTCATTGGCTCCAAAAGACAGCTCTATTCCATCAAAAGAAAATTGTTTTTCATGACAAAGCTGGCTTAATTTTCAAGTGGCATTGCGTAATTAAAGTGACTGTGGCAATGACAGAGATGTGGGTTTCCTGTTTCTTTCCTTTTTATGAAATCCAAGGGGGAACCAAAATGAAATGCAAATGGAAGCTTTCTTTGTCTTCTTTCTACTGAGCTTTGTTTGAGGTTCCAAATTCAACAGAAGGAGGGTGCGGCAAAATTTCCAGCAGCTGCAGCCAGGATTAACTGTACTGTCTTGTTCTTTTGCCAAATCCATTTGTGAAACAAAATGAAACAGGCCCTGAGCCTTCATAATCTTTGGAAGTGAGATGAACACACACGCAGAGTGCTGTGCTTGAGAGGAACTGGGCTTGTGGTCGGTTTTGCCTCTTCAGGCCTCATGGCCTTGGGCAAAGTTCCTGTCCGATCTGAGCCTGTTTCCTTCTCTGCAAAGCAAGAATAAAAGTCACCGCCTTGCTTACCTCATAAAGGCATTTGAGGCTCAAATTAAATGCGATAATGTCAAAGAGCTTTGCGAACTCCAAAGAACTATAAATACAAGGTGTTATTAGAAGTGGTTGAAAGTAAATGATGAGACAGCTTAATTTAAGTAATTTCAAATGCCTCAGGTGGAATAGAGCTGTGTGAGAGTGTTAGATATTGTCATTGGCCTGTGGCAAAGGGAGAGAAGGTAGGTCTGTATGGGAAAGATGGTATTTCTTTGTCTCCCCAGGTAAATTGGGGGCAGAGTTGGGGAAGGCAAGAAAAATCTTGGGGTTTTTGAGAATGGAACTATGATGATGAGCCAGGATTTAACTAACAGGAGATAGAAAGATGGCCGGAGGGGCCACGTGTGCTCTACAAATACCAGAAGTGGACCAAAAGATGTGGCCCAGAAGGGGAAGAAAACAGAGGAAGTTGAGCCTGTGGAAGAGCAGAGGAGGGGCAGCTGCTGGCGGCACGCATGGGAAGCTGTACAATTGAGGGCGAGGATGGAAGGACTTTCCAGGCTCAGGCACAAAGGAGCCCGCAACCCAGAGGCCAAACCTGGAGAATCAGCTGGAATTGGGCTTTATATCCCAAAGCAGCAGTTTTCAGACATGTAGAGATTTACTGATATGTGAGTGTCTACTGTGTGCCAGATACAAGAAAGGGAACCCCATTTCTCAACAAACTATTATACAGAGCCCCATTATGGAAAATAAATATTGAAGCTACTCTGTTGAAACGAGGCTTGGAGAAACCAGGGTCACTCAACTTCTCTCTGGATCCCTTTGGCAGCAGCCAGGGCGCTACTGAGAGACAAAGATAGGACCATTCCTCCTTGTTATAGCTCTAGGGCAGCGGTTCTCAACCTGTGGGTTGCGACCCCTTTGGCGGTCGAATAACCCTTTCACAGGGGTCGCCTAAGACCATCCTGCATATCAGATATTTACATTACGATTCATAACAGTAGCAACATTACAGTTATGAAGTAGCAACAAAAATAATTTTATGGTTGAGTCACAACATGAGGAACTGTATTTAAAGGGCCAGAAGGTTGAGAACCACTGCTCTAGTGCCTCACACATGTCAGTTGCTCGATATTTCCCGAGTGAATGAATGTGTGAATGAGACAGCGGGTCAGTGGTCTGCAGGAGAGAATTCAGATCGATGAGTTTAGTGGATTCTGTCATCACATTGTGAAGCTGTAGCTTACCATCTATACATAGTTAATACAGAAAAATTTCTCAGGCTTTAGCCATGGACAGGTAGGTGGATCGCTGTAGCTAGCGGAGGAGCTCCCTAGTCAGGGTGTGTGTCCAGCCACAGCAACCAAAGTTGTAGAGAGTAAGGCAAGCCAGAACCAGAGGAAACTTCTATGGGACATATCTTGGTAATTTCATCACAAAAACACAACCAGCCCATTGCTTTGTTCCTACAGAGTAGGGCAGGCTGTCTTCAGAGTCACACCCCACAACAAAAACAGCTGACATTTACCAGGTGCTAACGGCTTGCCAGGCACAGTAATAACCCCTTTATGCTGTGTGATGGGCAGAACAATGGCTCCCCCCAAAGACGTTTATGTCACGGTCCCTGGAGCCTTTGATTATGTTGTTAGATGGCAATGGAGGATTTAAAATTGCAAACGGAATTACGTTTACTAAACAGCTGACTTTGAGATGGAGAGAATAGCCCAGATTATTGGGTGGGCCCAGTGTAATCACAGGAATTTTATAAAGTGAAAGCAGGAGGCAGGAGGCGGTGTCAGAGAAGAGGTGACTACAAAAGCAGATGTGATGTGAGGGCTCCACTGACCATTGCTGATTTTGGAGGAAGGGGAGCATGAGCCAAAGAATGTGAGCAGCCTCTAGAAGGTGGAAAAGCAAGAAAACAGATTCTCCTTTAGAGCCTCTGGCTCTGCTGACTGTTGATTTTAGCTTAGTGTAACCACTGCAGATGTCTGACCTCCAGAACTGAAATCTTAAAAAGTGTGTGTTGTTTCAAGCCACAGTCTTTGGGGTAATTTGGTACAGCAACAATCGGAAACGAATACAGATTTTCTCACTCCACTTTCACAACAGCCCCATAAGATGGGTACTTAATATTGCTATTTTATAGAGGAGTAGACTGAGGTTTGGAGAGGTTGACTCACTTGACCGAGAGGTGAGTGGGTGGCCTGAGTCCGGAGCTGGCTCTCTCTGCCACACTGCTACCTTGAGATGGCCTTATTTCCTTATTTCACAAATGAGAAACTGAATCCCAGAGGTGTAGCCTGATCTGCCCAAATCACACAAGTTGGTGACAAAGCTCAACTGTACCCAATGAGAATGGTGTAGGCCAGCACTTCACAGACATACATGTGCACACAAGTCACGAGGAATCTTGTTAGGAGATGCAGGCTCTGACTCAGCAGGTCTGGGCTGGGATCCAGGTCTGCATTTCTAACCAGGTCCTGGGTCAGGTCACTGCTGCTGGGCCCGGTGTAGTACAGCTGCCCGGCTTTGGGAGTTCCAAGTGATCCAGACACATCGGAGAGCTTTGGGCATCTAGTAGGATGAGGGGGCCCTGGGGAAGGAGAGAGGATGCTTAAAATGGGAGAAACACAAGAACAGACGGGACAAAGTTCTGTGGAGAATGAGATTCAGGGTCTCAGAGGGAAAGGTCAGAGTTAAAGACAGGCTATCACACGTTGGGCCCCCCTTGAGAAATATGTCACACAAGCATGATGTATTGTTGTCATGTGAAGTCATTTAAAACTAGCAGGCATCATAGTTGCCTGTATTCTTTTATGGAACAACACACACAGGTCGAGAACATTTTTTCTGCCATGAAAACTAAAATAGCTCTACGTGACTGTTGGAGAAAGAACAACAGTCTCCATTCCCTACTATATATTTTATATAGTGATTTTTTTTTAAGAGAAAAAGAGGACAGTCTGTTTATTTTTTGAGAAACATCTCTAAAGCTTTGACAGAATCAAACTTCTTATGCCCTGGCCCCTTCCTTTCCTTAGCCTACCAACTCAGGGCCAGGAGTGTGGTTCTCTGAGACTTCATTGTAATACCCTTTGTAAGACTTTAAGCAATAAGACAATTAAAAAAAAAAAAAGGAAATGCCCCACCCCCATTTGTGTGGGAGTGCTGGGAGGTTCTCCCTAACTTCACCAATTGCAGAATTTCTGGTCGTCTGTGGCTACCAGAGCTGCCTGAGGGCCAGGGATATTCTGGTTTCATTTTGAAACAACCAAGCACGCAAGCAAGAAATATCAACTTTTTCTTCAGCTACATGAACTCAAAGAAGAAGCAAATGTTTGGCTGACTGTTTCCTAGGGGTATAGAGTAAAAAAATACACCTCTATATGCTTACAATGGCTCAAAAATGAAAGAAATTATTATTATTATTTTTTTTACTCAGCTGACTTGGCACTATTAACCTTTAATACTCCCTAATTTACAGTTTGCAAAATGGAATTTCAAAGCATTTTAAAATAAGTTTTCTTCAAACTTTCTTAGTTCTAGGATTTACCTCTGAAGTAGTGGTGATTCTCCTGGAAAATAACAAAATATGCTGATTAGTTGTCTGGATCACTCAGGAAGCACTGGAGAGCCCTATAAAGTACAAGGAAGGTATCCTGCTAGGTTCTGATCTTTGCCAGGGCCCAGGTGGCCAAAGTGGGGAGGATTCAGGCCATCCTGGGTGCCTGCTGTTATGGGCGCTTTCAGTTGTCCTTGTGACGAGGTGAAAACACACGGCTTGGGAGTCTGACATCCCTTGTTAACACGTCTTGAATGGGCCCCTATCTTTCTCCTCGGTTTATTTTTCCACTAGGGGCTAATGTCCTTATCTGAAAAATGTGAATCATAACACCTTCATCAGGATTACTGTGAGGATTAAAGGAGATGATGTGAGAGGCACAAAATAGGCCCCTAAAAATGTTCATCCCTCCAAGAGCCAGAAGTGAGCAGACTTTCAAGAAAAAGTTCTGTTTGATTGTGGAATGTATTGCTATTTTTCTTCCTTAAATCATTTTCCTTATATTTTCCTTGGTCTGTCAGTAAAATGTTTATTGGTTATAATCTACAGAATGCATGAATACACACAAATAAATGAGATGGCTATTTTTGGGAAAAAATGATAATAAATCATTTAATTGATTATCCTCTTGATATGAAACAAAGATTCAGTGCCAGAAAAGACCTTTGGTGCCTACTAAAAATTGTTGGGGACCAGAAGAGTTAGACTTTCATTCCTGTCTCCCTTCAGTCCCCTCCCATCCCTACCCCATGCACATACACCTTCCTCCCTTGCCAGAGAAAGCACTTCCAGGGTGATACTGATGGGAGTACTCCTTTTCTTGCCTTCTGATTATATCCCCTAAGCCACATAGCTAAGGTCAGCTCACGCGAACCAGGTGCCAGCCCTACCCCAAGCACGGCCTCCTATCCCTTTGCTGCAATGTTTCAAATCAAGGCGGAAGTCCTGGCGTGCTGGCAGATTTCCTGCCTAAGTGCCAGTCAGAGGGAATCAAGCTTAACCTGGAGGACTCCTCCCTTGCACAGGCCTTTCGAAGGCCCTAGAAATAGATTCTCATGGTCATGTGTTTTTTAAATAAAAGTTGAAAGACATATTTTAAGCATAATCAGTGAAGACCCTATTTCTTTTACTCTATTTTTCTTCCATCATGCTTCCCTATTTGTCAGTGGCACTGTGTATGTCTGTGGGCTCTTGGGGAGAAGTTGAGTTGGAGATACATTTAGTTTGGGCTCAGTGGGATATATTTATGTCTTCTGTGATCTCTTCCGTGTAGTTAAGCTATTGCCCAATCTCTGGGAGTTGTGACAGGAAGATGCTGGGGACAGAGGTCATTTTTGAACATGGACATGTCCTCCTGCAGCAATGGCTCTGGAAATATGAGAGAAGAAGAGAAACAAGGTTTGAAATGTTTGGAGCCAGAAAACAGTCTATGGAACATTCTTTCAATAATCAGCAAATGGAAGATTCACTTCTCAAAGATGCCTAGTCAAAATGCAAGTTCTTTCCTGTCAGGAATATGCTAAAACATGCGCAGACAATTGTAATACACTACATATATACATTTTTTTCTTTTCTGCATTGATGGGAAAACATTTATCAGAACTCCTGAGTGTGTAAGCACCAAGTCTGAAGCAGTGCTACAAAAGCAAGGTATCTGCAGCAGTTCACAATGGAAAAGAATAAAAATAGAGGAGTTCCAAAATTCAGGACAGCGATCTTTTAGGTCAAGATGGCAGGGTAGATAAATGCTATGCTTGTCTCCTCCCATGACCACATCAAAATTATAACTTAACTACAGTAAAGCCATCATTGAGAACTGCCTGAAGTCTAGCTGAGCGGAAGTGCTATAACTAGGATATAAAGAATAAGCCACATGAAGATTCGAGCAGAGACACAGAATGGCCTGGTACCCCAGGCACATGTGCTGGATAAAAATTGGGAGGCATATCTTGTTGCAAAGGTGCCACCTGAGGAGCCAGGTCCCAGCCCCACACCAGGCTCCACAACCTAGGTCCAAGTACCAGGAAGAGAAGTCTCCATAACTTCTGAATGTGAAAGCCAGTGGAAACTGGCTGAGTGAGATGGAGGGCTGCTGCAGTCCCACATTCTCCTTAAAGGCCCTGGCAGTACTTACTGATGGACTCACTCACTCTGAGCTCCAGTGCTGGGGCAGAGCTAGAAAAGTGCCAGGGACATACAGGGAGAACTGAATTGTCTGCTTTGAGGGGCAAGGATTGAAGGGGTAAGCTTTCTCCCACCAAGAGTGCTTGCAGAGGCCATTATTTAATTGTTGAGCCCTCACCCCACTCAACCTGTTAAAAGGCTGGTGCCATCTCTGAGTCTTCATCACACTGGCTAATGCAGTTTTCCCTGCCCTAGTGACTCCCTGAGACTCCACCCCACCCAACCTGCAAACCCACCCAAGCCACTTCCAGTGTTTTCCCCATACAAACAGCATATCTTGGCTCATGCTTTGGACTTTCCTAAAATCTTTGGCCTCTGCATGCCTCATACCTCTTGCTAAGCAATCCCAAACTCAGCACAAGTGGTAGCCAGCATTAGTTTGTAGCTTAGCCTCTCCCAGGCACTTCCAAGGCCAGCACAAGTGGCAACAATCTACAGATCACTTTGTAACTCATACCAAGTGGCTCTGGGCAGGACACAGGCAGCAGCTAACCTTGGCTTTCACCTAAGTCCCTCCCAGGAAGCCTCAGAACAAACACACCTGGCGGTCAGCTTCAGACCAACCAGAGCACCACCCAACCAGTTTTACAAATGACACACCCAAAGGGTATCCTTGGCAGGCAACAGAGCCTTCCCTAAAGAAAATCCTGCACTATAGAGTCAGTTCCTGCACAACAGCTCCTCCAATGTAATCATGGCTAGTCCTCACATCCAATTAACCTTTCTATAGACCAGCCAATAGTAATCAAGACTCAACTATAACAGGAAGGCATATATAACCCACACAAGGGACATTCCTGGAGCACCTGGCTCAGGTAATCAAGAATACTGGGCCACTGGACCCCACAGGACACCTATACATAAGGCCCCTCTACCAAGATTGGGAAATGTAGCAGTTCTACTTAATATATAGAAACAGACACAGGGAGGCAGCCAAAATGATAACACAAAGAAACATGCCCCAAATGAAAGAAAAAACAAAAGTCCAGAAAAACGAAACAAAATACAGACAAGCAATCTACCAGATGCAGAGTTCAAAACATTGGTTATAATGATGTTCAATGATCTTAGTAAGAACTTCAACAAAAAAACTAGAAGCATAAAAATGAAGATAGAAAACTTAAAAGAGAACCAGTAAGAAATGAAGAATACAAAACTGAGCCCAGCTGGTGTGGCTCAGTGGTTGAGCATCCACCTATGAACCAGGAGGCCATGGTTCAATTTCTGGTCAGGACACACGCTCGGGTTGCAGGCTCGATCCCCAGTGTGGAGCATGCAGGAGGCAGTCAATCAATGTTTCTCTCTCATCATTGACATTTCTATTTCTCCCTCTTTCTTCCTTTCTGAAATCAATAAAAACATATTTTTTAAAAAGATTACAAACTGAAATGAATAATACATTAGAGGGAATCAACAGTAAATTAGATGAAACAGAGAATCATATCAGTGATTTGGAAGACAAGGTGGCAGAATATACCCAATCAGAGCAGAAAAAAGAAAAAACAAACAAAATGATGATAGTTTAAGGGGTCTCTGAGACAATAGCAAATATACCAACATTTGCATCATAGGAATACCAAAAGGAAAAGAGAGAAAGCAAGAAATTGAAAACCTTTTTGAAGAAATAATGATGAAAAACTTTTTTTTTTAAATATATTTTATTGATTTTTTACAGAGAGGAAGGGAGAGAGATAGAGAGTTAGAAACATCGATGAGAGAGAAACATCAATCAGCCGCCTCCTGCACATCTCCTACTGGGGATGTGCCCGCAACCCAGGTACATGCCCTTGACCGGAATCGAACCTAGGACCTTTCAGTCCACAGGCTGACACTCTATCCACTGAGCC